GCCATAATACACACCATTTTGGAGGTCAAATGGTACTGCACATCACCCCAAAAACACCATACCAACAGTGAAGTTTGGAGGTGGGAACATCACGGTGCGGGGCTATTTTTTAAGCAACAAACTTTTTAGCTGACAAACTTCATATTACTGAAGGAAGGATGAATGGAAAAATGTACCAAAACATTCTGGATCAAAATCTGCTGCCATCTACCAGGATGATGAAGATAAAACAAGGGTGGACATTTCAACAAGACAATGATCCCAAACACAAAGCCAAGGAAACTCTCAATTGGTTTCAAAGAAAGAAAACTGCTAGAATGACCCAGCCAATCACCTGACTTGAATCCAATAGAAAATCAATGGAAATAAATAAACATAGAGTTCGTAGAAGAATCCAACAGAACTTTCAAGATTTGAAGACTGTTTTTGTGGAAGAATGTGCCAAAATCACTCCAATGCAATGCATGTGACTAGTACAAGAGGTGTCTTGAAGCTGTCATTACCAACAAAGGATTTTGTATGAAGTATTAATATAACTTTCATTTAGTGTATTCAATACTTTTTCCATATACTTCTCTTTTATTACACATAATTTAATTTCTGAACTTATTTATTTTGGTTTCTTTGTATGTATGGATGGCATGGGTTGTTACTGACATGTGGTGAAAAGTCCATGTCAATAGCACCTTTTGAAATATATTTACCTAGAAAAATGGTGACGTTTTCAATACGTATTTTACCCGCTGTATTTGAAGAAATTTGGGGGGGTTGTCGTACGTTGCAATCTGTTGCTTGTTTTGAAATTTTGCAGCCTTGATTTCCTTTTTACATATTGTTATATTCTTTATACTTTTTAAGCTATGAAAGAGTTCCTGTCAAGCCTAAGCAGTGTGTTCACATACAGTTGTTCTGATGAATTCCCATATCTCTTCTGTGTTCTTTGATGCTAATATTCCCTCCCAGTCTAAGTCTTTGTGAGCAGCCCTCGGTTTTGGTAAATTTGCTCTCTTAAAATTAAAGTGGTTGGAAAGTTAATTACTCAAAAAAGCATTTTGGAAGAGATGCTATCATACATTATAAAAGTGCCGGCCTGTAGCCCTTTATTATGCCGTTTGATATGCAGGTCACGTGACCGCTCTTAACAGATCTGCAATTCACAGACCTGCAGATGGGAGGTTACAGAGCCGAGCCATCATTGCAGGAAGTGATGTAATGCCACTAGGTATCAGTGTTTCAAAGTTAATGAAACGCAATCATACCCGATGACACTGTGTCACTACCCCCTTTCCCCAGCAATATCCAGTGACGTCACTGGCAATCAATGGAGTTGAGATAGCCGGGGAAGCGCGGCTTTAACCACACCACAGAAGATACAAGCACAAGTGCAAGTGAACAGCATGCTTGTTTCTAAATGTATGATAGAGGGGTAAACTGACCATGCTAGCATGGATCAGCTTACATGCTAACGTGGTCAGTTTTTTTTACAAGATGACAGGAATTGGCAGGATCAACCAGGTAATCAAGAATCACTGCTAGCATAATTAGTATAATGTTATCCTTAAACTAATAGCAATACAGTAAAGAGACAGATCCATGACTTCTTATTTTAAGCTTTACAAACATTTTAAGTGTGTTTATCTTTCCAGTATGTGCTTGTTGTTTACAGCGAACATTAAATGAAATCATGTTATGGTCACTGCTACCCATTCTTATATTGTGTTCCTACAATTGTAAGTAGCTTGTATGTGTACAGCATTCTTATGTAGTAAAAGCAGTGTTTATGCTTCCTTGCTTTACTGCAAAGTGACCTAAAACAGACAAAGAAAAACATAACTTTTATTTTGCAAAAGCGTTTGACACAGTTCCCCACACACAGCTAATGTGTAATGTAAAGTCTACGGGCTTGAAAAAATCCATATGTAAATGGATAGAAAACTGGCTAAGAGATGGTATTCAGAGAGTAATGGTTAATTATTCATACTCTGAATGGTCTAGGGTCATCAGTGGTGTACCCCAAGGTTCAGTGTTGGGACCTTTACTTTTTAATATATTTCTAAACGATATAGGGTCTGAGATTACAAATCCCATTTCAGTCTTTGCAGATGACACCAAGCTGTGCAGTGGAATAACGTCCTTACAGGATGTCTTCAACTTACAAGCTGACCTCAATGCACTGTTTAATTGGGCAACTATGTGGCAAATGAGGTTTAATGTTGATAAATGTAAGGTTATGAACTTGGGGGTTAAGAATATGCATGCATCATACATACTAGGGGGGAGTACAACTGGGGGAATCAATGGTGGAGAAGGATCTGGGAGTTCTGGTAGATCACAAGATCGCATGCCAAGCTGCAGTTTCTACAGCGAGCAAAATCCTTTCTTGTATTAAAAGAGGTATAGACTCCAGAGAGAGAGAGATATCATTTTACCGCTGTAAAAATCATTAGTAAGACATCATCTGGAATATGCTGTTAAAGTTTGGACACCAATTCACAAAAAGAACATTGGAGAACTGGAGAAAGTGCAGAGAAGGGCAACCAAACTGATAAGAGGCATGGAGGAGCTCAGCTATGGGGAAAGATTAGAGGAACTGAATTTATTCTCTCTTGAGAAGAGGAGATTAAGGGGGGATATGATCGACATGTATAAATACATCAGTGGTTCATATAGTGAACTCTGTGTAGATTTATTCACCCTGAGGTCATCACAGAGGACAAGGGGGCACTCCTTACGTCTGGAGGAAAAGAAGTTTAATCTCCACACACGGAAAGGTTTCTTCACAGTAAGATCTTTGAAAGTGTGGAATAGACGCCTTCAAGAGTTGGTTCTAGCCAGCTTAGTGGATTGCTTTAAAAAAGGCCTGGGTTCTTTCTTGGATACACAGAATATAACTGGATAATAACATTTATAGGGCTAGTTGATCCAGTTGAACTGGATGGACTTTTGTCTTTTTTCAGCCAGACTAACTTTTTAACTATGTAACATGTCCTTGCACACATATATTGAAGGAAAGAGAGACCCTATAATCTGTTTTTAATAAAAAAAAAAGTAAAAAAAAAATAAATTATATATATTTTTTGTTGTTACTATTCTACTGTTACAATTTTACTGTTTTATTGTTACAGTTTTATTATTAACCATTGCTGTTTTCTTTGCAGGAATGCCAATCAGCTGCAGCACCTTCCTGTTTATTCTGACAACAACAGGAGCTTCTTGCTCTCAGAATATACATACAGTAGCCATTTACAGACCAAGTAGTGTTTACAAGCTAAAGTAAAACAAACAAACAAAAAAAACATCAAAAGCATGTTCAGGAGAGAAGTTTTTTGAGCAGCAAAAATGCTGAACATACCTAAACGCATTTAACCTCACCTAAGTGCAAGGTGCATTTAGGCACATTTGAGCATTAATGCATTCCAATGGCAAGAATAAAATAGTATGGAGTCCAATAATGCTCAAATGCTTGACATGCTTAAATCCGTGTGCAATACATGGCTTTAGGCTTGTTTTTAAGCAGCTTTTCTCCTGCTAGGAGTTCTAGTATTCAGTGGAGAAAAGCAATCTCCCAGTGTGCATGAGGCCTTACTGAATATATAAAATAAATGAGAAACCTCCTATGAGCACAAAATATGAGCTGCCATTGTTGACCTCCCCTGAAAATGTTAAAGTATATGTATAGTTTCTGATAGTAGTAGCATGGTTAGAAATGTCCTATCTCGGGGCTTGTTCACTTTTTTTTAATAAAAAATGCAGGTAAAAACTAATATGAATGCATTTGCATTTACCTGCATTTTTATGCATGGTTACCTGTGGGTTTATGCGCTTTTTCAAACTTATATTGTGTTTAGCTGCTTGAGTTTTCTATTTTATGTGTCATCATTTCCTTTTCACAAAAAATACACTAAAATCCATATCAGCTGATACAAACGCAACAAAAATTCCGGCTAAATCTAAAAGATTAGACTGTATTGAGTTAATAAACAAAGCTCTGCATGTGAATAAGGTATTGGGACTCATTCACATAAATGCTGTGTCCTGAACAGTGTGAATTAGATTTTGTTTCTATATAGCTGTGTGCAGTTAGCCTATGTTGCGTTAGGGGATTGAAGCAACTGTATGAACTCAGTTGCAGGTCCTAGTTTGATAGGCGTGTGGATGCACTTCTATGGCCCCAAACACAGACAGGTTGAATCATTCATCCCTTCACACCTGTCAAATTAGGACCTGTGGCTGTGTTGTACAGTCGCTGCATCTCTATAGAATAATAAGCAGCTCCAGCCACACAAAGCACTCATTCACGCTGTACATTTATTTTCTAATTTGTTTTTCACAAGATGAACATTTTATTTTTTTAACAATTATTTTGTACAATTTCTTTTTTTTAATATACTGTATTTTGTTGTGTTTTTTGACAATGCTTTGGGGGAGAGCAGTGGATGGTGTCAGTAAAGCAGTGGACAGTGTCAGTGGTTTTTTGATTTTTATTATTTTACTTTTTATTATTTTTTACAATTTTATTTTTCATTATTTATTACAATTTTTGGTGGGCTTTGGTGAGACATCAGTTTAGAAAAAAATACTAAAGCAATTGATGTAAAATATATGAAGTTCTGCCAACATCCCACAATGAACAATGACATGACTAAAAACAATAACAGAAATACCCCTGGGACTTTAAAAGCAGAAATAATGTATATAAAATAGAATTATCTTAACCACTTGCCTACCAGGCACTTATACCCCCTTATTTACCAGGCCAATTATCAGCTTTCAGTGCTGCCGCACTTTGATTGACAATTGCGCGGTCATGCAACATTGTACCCATATGAAATTTTGATCATTTTTTTTATCACAAATAGAGCTTTCTTTTGGTGGTATTTAATCACCACTGGGCGCTTTACTTTTTGTGCTATAAATAAAAAAAGTGCAAAAAATTTGAAAAAAAAAGTTTCTTTGTTTCTATTAAAATTTTTCAAACAGGTAATTTTTCTCCTTCACTGATGTGCGTTGATGAGGCAGCACTGATGGGCACTGATAGGTGGCACTGATGGGCACTGATAGGCAGCACTAAAGGGCACTGATAGGCAGTACTAATGAGGTGGCACAGATATGCGGCACTGATAGACAGCACTAATGAGGTGTCACGGATAGGCGGCACTAATATGCAGCACTGATAGGCGGCACTGATAGGTACTGATAGACGGCACTGACAGGTGACACTGATGATGGGTACTGATAGACGGCACTGACTGGCATCACTGCTGGGCACTGACTGGTGGCACTGACTGGCACAACCGCTGGGCACTGACTGGTGGCATTGACTGGCAGCACTGCTGGGCTGCACTGGTGGGTGGCACTGGTGGGCAGCACTGGTGGGTGGGCACAGGTGGGTGGCACTGGTGGGCACAGGTGGGTGGACACAGGTGGGTGGCACTGCTGGGCACAGGTAGGTGGCACTTCTGGGCACAGGTAGGTGGCACTTCTGGGCACAGGTGTGTGACACTGCAGAGTGGCACAGGTGGGTGCACTGCTGGGCACAGGTGGGTGATCTGCTGGGCACAGGTGGGCGAAGCTAGTGGGCGCACTGCTGGGCACAGGTGGGCGGAACTTGCGGGTGGCACTGCTGGGCACCGATCATCAGGGCACTGATCATCAGTGCCCTGATGATCGGTGCCGATCCCCGCTCTGACAACTGCTGGTTCTCGGCAGTACTTTCCTCACGATCTGACAGCGTGAGGAAAGTGCAGCCGAGAACCGGCACTTGCATTTCCCTCTGATCAGCGTGTCATTGGACACCGCTGATCACGTGGTAAAAGGCCGCTGTGATTGGCCTTTTACCACATCACGTGATCAGCTGTGTCCGTAGGACACAGCGATCACGGAGATCCCCTGGGGCGCGCAGGAGAGCACGTTCTGGGAGGACGTCATATGATGTCCACTCAGAACTGGCCGGCCGCAGTGCAGCCGTCATTCGGCTATCTGCGGTTGGCAACAAGTTAAAAGACAAATGTCAATATTATTAATAAATATATCTTGTTTGTAAAAGAAGGGGAACCACATAGGTCCATAAAATCATATGAGCAGTGTGAATCACTAGATAGTATTGCATACAATCAAATAACGATACAGAGTACATATACCCTAAGATACAAAGACACACCCAACGAAAAACTGCAAAATGGAATGTAGCTTGGTTAGTCGAGGTGTAATCTTCAAATATATCTCAATATGTTTCGGAAAATCATTCCTTCTTCAGGGGAAATTGGGTATATCGATACTACAATATAATAAATACATCAGTATAATATTAACCGCTTCTGTGCCACTCTATAGCAGAAATACTGCTACAGGGCGGCACGGGTGCGCAAAATCCCGCAGTTTTTGAGGGCTTGGGGGGTACATCCTAGTACATCCTGGTCTTTCACATACCAGCACTGCAGTATCACTTGGTGACGTGGCAAGTCCCATAAGTGCAGTACAAGCTGGTGCGGTGACGAGCACAAGTAGTGACCCGCAGCCACCAAAAATTCACACACAGGCCCATAGAGCCTCTAGTATCCTTCCGGACGTGATTGCAAATACCGATAGGCAACCCACAAATTCTGCAGCACCCGTACTTGACCCATTCACTGCTCAACCAGGAATTTAGGTGGAAACAGCAAATTTAACTACTCCCCTTGATTTTTTGGAGCTGTTTTTCATTGAAGATCTGTATGCATTGATTGTGGATCAAAACAATTTATATGCACAACAGTTTATTGCTGCCAGCCCAAATTCAAACCTTGCCAGACCATTCGCATGGAAACCCAATACGGTTTCCGAATTTTAAGTTTTTTTGGGCCTAACCCTCAACATGGGCATTACTAAAAACAATTTAATTGTGGTCGTATTGGTCCACAGACCTGATTCATCATATGCCCATGTTCTCTGCTGCCATGGCCAGGCATAGATATAAGAGTATAATGCGTTTTATGCATTTCAATGACAATACACTCTGTGGTCCTAGGGGTGACCCTGAATTACATCACCGATCTTGTCTCCAAATATCACCCAAACCGTACTCTCCGCTCCTCGCACGACCTCCTGCTCTCTAGCTTCCTTGTCTCCTCCTCCCATGTTCGTCTCCAGGACTTCTCCAGAGCTTCTCCCATCCTCTGGAACTCTCTGCCCCAATTTATCAGACTATCGCCTACTCTGCTCACTTTTAGGCAACTTCTGAAAACCTATCTCTTCAGGGAAGCCTATCCTGCCCTCAGCTAATAATGGAATCTTTTACTCTTCCTACCAGTCTATCCCCCACAGGTACTACCTTTTGTACCACTAGCCCCTCCCTCCTAGATTGTAAGCTCCGTGGAGCAGGGCCCTCCTATCCCTCTTGTATTGAACTCTATTGTTGCTGTATTGTCTCCCGTTATATTGTAAAGTGCAGAAAAAACTGTTGGCGCTATATAAATCCTATATAATAATAATAATTTGACTGGCTCCACAAAATTCGGCCCTTCGTAAATCACCTTAACCATAAATTTGCAGATGTCTTTATTCCCCCGCAAAACATCTACATTGATGAGTCCCTGATTAATTTTTCTGGCCGTCTTGCATTCAAACGATTTCTCCCCAGCAAGCGTGCCAGATATGGGGTAAAGATGTGTACGACCTGTGAGAGGGCAACAGGCTAGACATATAAGTTTCAGTTTTATGAAAAGATAGTCACATGGAGCCCCCCGGATGCCCAGACTACACGAGGAGCAGTGGCAAGATAGTTTGAGACTTGGCGTCATCCTTTTTCCATATGGGGTACCACTTATACATGGACAATTTTTATTCAAGCGTGCCACTATTTAGACATTTGTACAATCTTGAACTGGCGCCTGTGGCACCATGCAAACTAATCCCTGGGGCTTCCCCCAACGGCTTGTAAATACCCATCTTAGAAAGGGGGGAAAAGTCTGCTTGAGAAATGAGGAATTGCTTGAAGTGAAGTGGAAGGACAAACCAGATGTTTTTGTCCTATCTTTCATTCATGCAGACACGACCATCCAAATTGCCATGATAGCTGGTGTTGTTGAGAAGCCCCTCTGTGTCCACAACTATAACCTTAACATGGGAGGGGTGGACTTCACCGACCAGATGATGAAGCCGTACTGAGTTTCCCGAAAAGCCAGACTTTGGTACAAAAAAAGTTTCTGTTTATTTATTTCAATTGGCTCTATATAATGCTTTTGTGCTTTACAAAGCAACTGGACGAAGTGGATCCTTCCTAAAATTCCAGGAAGAGATCATCACAGCCCTTTTGTATCCAGAAGGTGCTGTGGCCCAAGCCCCCAACCCAGATGAAGTTAGCCGGCTACATGGGAGAGATTTTCCCGATGCCATTCCAACCCAAAGGACACCCCAAAAAAGATGTGTCTGTAGCAGGCATGGAATTAGGTGTGACACATCCTTTTTTCTCCCTCCTGTCCTGGCCAACCTGGTCTCTGCCTCAAGGACTGTTTCCGTTGCTACCACACACTAGTGGAGTATTAGTATAGGGTACAGCATGGCACAGTTCAGGGCACATATTTACACAGGATCTCAAAAGATGTTAGGTAGTCAGGAAACTGGCTATCGCATTTGGAGAGACCCTACAATCTGTTTTAAAAAAAAAAAAGTAAAAAAAGCAGAAAAAATAAAAAGTACAAAAAAAATAAGTTATATATATTTTTTGTTGTTGTTACTATTCTACTGTTACAATTTTACTGTTTTATTGTTACAGTTTTATTGTTAACCATTGCTGTTTTCTTTGCAGGAATGCCAATCAGCTGCAGCACCTACCTGTTTATTCTGACATCAGGAACTTGCTCTCAGAATATACATACAGTGAGTCAGTGTGGGCAATACTGTTGGATGAGATTTTTCATCCGCAGTTAAGAGCATATATGCCGAAGCATAGGGGCCTGGGTTTGCCAGTCCCTATGCTTCGGCATATATATTTTTTAATATTTTTTGGCATATTTCATTTGTGCCTCCCATTAGAAGTGAGTGGATGCAGGGAGGTATATTCTAATGGTGGGCATACCACACATTTTTTTCTGGCAGAGATTTCTTCTCTTTTTTTTCATTCAGCCCACAGGCTGCATACAAAAAAAAAAAAAAAGAACATAGCATATACACCCAACAAGAACCACTGACGTACTGGTATATCATCCTGGTATCGTTTTGTTCAGCTGGCAATCAGCTTTCATGTAAAATCAATCCTAGTGGCTAATTAGCTTAGGATTGCTTTTACATGCTGCAGAAGATGCCCCCCTCCCCAGCTGCCTTCCACAGCCTTTTCGGGCAGTCCTGTGTCATCGGGGGAACATGAGAATGCAGCCGGTGCTTCTGCCAGCTGACCATAGAGCTGATTGGAGACTGGAATGGTGCCAATCATCTCTATAGTCTAAGAAATCGGAAGCTACAAGCATTTCATCACTTCCGTTTCGCAGGATATAAACAGCGCCATTTGTAAATTGGGAAAGCATCTGATCACACCGATCTTGATGAGATTAGATAATGTAAGGGCAGAGGAGATATCTAGAGTCTGATAGACCCCAGATTTCTCACAAAAGAATATATGACAATGCCCATTGAAGTTATAGGGAATATTTGCATTCCCTGTGATAGTATTAAAAGTGATAAAAAAAAAAAAAAATGAAAAGGGACAGTGTAAAAATAATTAAAAAAAACCAAATTAACAGTAAAAAAAAAGCGCACCTGCGTGTGCGAGCGTTGACCCTGTGCCAGTATGTAAACAGCGGTTGCACCATGCATGTGAGATATTGCTGCGAACGTCAGATTAAGGGCAGTAATTCTAGCAGCACTTGACCTCCTCTGTAAATCTAAAATGGTATCTTGTAAAGGCTTTTAAATCGTTGCCTATGGATATTAAAAATGTATGCAGTTTGTCGCCATTGCATGGGGCATGTGCAGTTTTAAAGCATGTCATGTTTGGTATCTATTTGCTCGGCATACCATCATCTTTTATATCTTACCAAATAATTAACCTATATATTGTGATTTTGTGCATTAAAAGTAAAAAAAGTGTATTTTATTAAAAAAAAATCACTGCGGGAGTACTATGTGACATAAAAAATTGCAGCACCCACCATTTTGTTCAATAGGGTGTCTGCTTTAAAAAATATATAATATTTGGGGGTTCAAAGTAACCTCCTAGCAAAAAATACAGATTTTTTTCATGTGAACAAAAAGGGGTTTATTTACCAGAGCTGGAGAGTCCAAAATCAGACTCCCTTCTGCATAGAAACCAATCAGCTTCCAGGTTTCATTGCCAAAGCTTCATTGAACAAGCTGAGGTTAGAAGCTGATTGGTTTCTATGCAGAAGGGAGTCTGATTTTGGACTCCCCAGCTTTAGTAAATAAACCCCAAAGTGTCAGAAAAGGCTTGGTCTTCAGGTGGTTAGAAGAGTGAGTGATGCATAAACTTCTAATGCTGGGCATAAAATGCCCCCACCCCCCCCCAAAACTACCCTTTTTTGGAAAGTAGACACCCCAAACTATTTGCTGAGAAGCATGTTGAGTCAATAGAAGAATTTTTTTTGTGTTTTACACAAAATTGTGACTTAAATGATTTATTGCTCACACATGCCATGGGTATATGTGGAATTACTGCCCAAAATACATTTTGCTACTTCTCCCGAGTATGGGGATACCACATGTGAGAGACTTTTTGGCACTCTAACCAAGTACAGGACCCCAAAATCCAATATGCACCGTCAGAAAAATAAAAAGCGCACAGGTGATCAAATACAACCAAAAGAAAGCTCTATTTGTGTGAAAAAAGGACATAAATTTCATTTATTTACAGTATTGCATGACCGCGCAATTGTCAGTTAAACTAGTGCAGCGCTGTATAGAATAAAATGGGGTAAATTCCAGTATCTATACCATAGTTTGTAGATGCTATGACTTTCACAAAAAGCAATCAATATTCACTTATTGGGATTATTTTTTACCAAAACCATATAGCACAGTGGTTCTTAACCTGGGTTCGATCGAACCCCAGGGGTTCGGTGAGTCAGTCTCGCGGGTTCGGCGGTGGTGAAGACCCACACCCGACTCATATGATTCGTGCAGTAAATATTCATTATTATGTTTTTGTTTTTGTGTGAAAATCATGTTTTAATGGTTTTGTTCTTTGTTCTTAACGGTTTTGTTCATTTTGTGCACCTATGTATAAATATATACCTAAATATATACCTATGTTTTGAATTTTAAAAATCATATTTTATTTTTCCAATTAAGAAGGGTTCGGTGAATGCGCATATGAAACTGGTGGGGTTCAGTACCTCCAACAAGGTTAAGAACCACTGATATAGCAGAATACATTTTGGCCTAAATGTATGACTAACTTTGAGTTTACTATCAGGGGCGGACTGACAACTCATGGGGCCCCCGGGCAAGAGGGGATCATGGGGCCCCTGTGTCCTTGCCCAAACTCAAAAAAGCCTATGAAAAAGGTACCAGGGGCATCTCATGGGGCCCCCTACTGACCCCGGGCCCTCGAGCAGTGCCCGAGTTTCCAAATGGTCAGTTCGCCTCTGTTTACTATATATTTTTTATAGCCAAAAGTTAAAAAACATTTTTTTTTTAATTTTCTGTCTTTTTATGTTTTTAAAGCAAAAAATAAAGTGCGAAGGAAAGCTCTATTTGTGTGAAAAAAAAGACATAAATTTTGTTTCGATACAGCATTGCATGACCGCTCAATTGAAATAGTGCAGCGCTGTATAGCAAAAAGAGGTCAGGTCAGGAAGGGAAGTAAATCCTCAGGAGGGCAAGTGGTTAAAGAGTGACATGTTTGGTACCTATTTACTTGCTGTAACATAATCTTTTAAATTTAAAAAAATTGGGTTATGTATTGTGCTTTTTTGCAACAGAATTCAAAAAAAAGGGTATTTTTCCCCAAAAATTGCTTTTGAAAAACTGCCGCGCAAATACTGTGTAACTTAAAAAAAGCTAAAACCAGCAATTTATTCTCTAGGGCCTCTGCTTTAAAATAATATATAATGTTTGGGGATTTCAAGACATTTTCTAGCAAAAAATACTGATTTTAAAATGTAAACAAAAAGTGCCAGAAATGGCTTAGGGCTGAAGTGGGTATAGAAGGCCTCAACATAACAATACAATTTATTAATCTGTTTAGCATTCAGAATATGCATTAGAAACAACAATATCAGGGATATCTCATGCCAGAACAAAAAAAAACCCCACTAAAATCATTATTAGTGAACATAAACACAAGATAACTTACAAAATTCCACAGGCGGATCCGGGTAGCCTAGGGCATTGAATCTTGGACAGGAAATGTGACTGGTGTGGTGGGGGGACAATTACAAGAACTGATCCCCTGTGTTTCTCTTCCTGCATCAACTGAAAGCGAGTTGGAGGGAGAGGAGAAGCCAACTTTCAGGGAGGGAGAGAACACAGGTGATCGATTCCTGCAATTGTCCCCCCATTGCGCCGACCACCCCCTCTCCTGCCCACATCCAATTCGCCTGTTGCCTGGGACCTCCTGCTGCTGGCCCTTTAGAGAAGGACTGGTGCTACCCCCTTATCATGATTCTGCATTGCACAAGTGTTTAATACACACACACAGCAAGGCAACATTTTTAGGAGGCCATCGTTGGTAGCCCTCATTTCTCTCAGCACAGATGTAAGCATCTATTTCCAGAACTGACATGCTGGCTCAGAGATGACTCAATCATGTACTGTAAATCCTGCAGTCTGTGCAGTTTTTGGAAGTATTTACAAATTTATGACACAGATTACCGCTCCTACAGCCTTTCAACAAATAACTTGCTACAAAGTTCAAAATAATGCAGTCTATTGGAGAACAGGAGACCAAGGAATTGCTTTCTCCTAGTAATTGAAAGGACAACTTTGTTTGCTTGGGCCAAGCTGGCCCAAAGAACCATTTCCCTATAACCCAGAAGAAAACCGGGTGAAGATGTCCGTGCTGTTGAAGGAACTTTTGAACAAATCGCTGCAGGAGATTTGTACACTGTAATGCAAGCTTTGATTTTTTTTTAAAGGGACAGAGTTTTTTTTTCCCCCAGTGGAAACAGCACATTTTTATTGCTAAATGATGAAAGTATGTAGTCCGCTTATTTTCCTCCTTTCCTCTCATCTTCTGCCTAAAGCAGAGTTCCACCCATTTTTCATACTTTACCTGATTAAGTTGACCCTGTGAAATAAAGAACAAGTTGGATATTTTTTTTTTTTTTAATATACATACCTTTAAATCGACTGCAAGTCTGCAGTTCCGGGCCCGGCCAATGACATCGTAAGGCGATTTGCAAGGTCTCCTGGGATGTCGTTTCCTGTATCCCAGGAGTCCTTTGGTTTCCTGTAATCGCAGGACTTGGAAACCGGAAATGACGCAAATGGAAGGTGTTTCGCGCCATTTTACCACAGACCAGATTACTGGAAGACGTGGATGCTGTATCCTGCTGCATCCTACGCTGTGCTCTATGCTAGAATTGCAGAGTGTGTACATAGTGCCAAGCAGTGCCTGTACTGCGCAGGCGCAAGAACTAGTGGTGCATGCTGGGATAGCCAGCAGCACCGATTCCTGGAAATAAATGCCTGCAGGTGTCAGGGTCCTGTCCACGGCAGGAGTTCTGGAAGATCTTGCATTTCTGCCAGTTCTCTACATGGCTGCAGAGGTAGACATCAGTCTCAGTCTGGTGCCAGCCGGCCTTTTTAAGGAGGATCATCACTTCCTCTGGTTGCTGGATGATCTCTAACTCCTCGTGCCCTGTTCCTGTGATTCTGACTTGTGATTTCCTGTTACCAACTTGGCTTGCTCCTGGATCTGTCTACTCTAATTTACCCCTGATCTGACCTCGGCTTGGCTTACGGATACTCTCTTTCACTCCTCTGTGAATGACCTCGGCTTTCCCATCTGACTACGTCTGCTCTGATTCTCACCTGGTACCTGACCTTGGCTTGAACCGACCACCCAGTAAACATCTAAATTCCGGAAGGGCTTGCATACCACGCACAGGCGCCTCCTGTCTACAGACCTATCTCCTTGCACCAGCTGTGCTTCTGAGTGGACCACCACCCAGCACTCCTACAGGCAACCTGTGCAACTTTGGGCCTGACTCCCGCTGTCCCACTCTCAGGGGAGTCTGGAACTTAGCCGCAAGGGAAGCCCTCTCTCCATTGGCCTCCATCACCGGGTACGTGCTAGCAGGCTTCAGAAGACCACAGCCATCATGGCGCCTGTCTGCTTCCGAGATCATGGTAAATTTTTAATAATTACTAAGTAATTACAATGCTTTTACTATTGAATTATTCCAATTGTTAATGCTATTTGAAAGGTCATCGTGGATCTGTTTTTACTAAAAATGTATTAGGGGGACTGGAGCTCAGCTTTAACTTTCCGTTTTTCTTCCTTGGTGGAAGTCCAGACTTTTTCTAACTATGATTAAATTTGATCCCATCCCCATTCTAACTCCTACTGTAACTACCCTGTGAAAGGGAGATGTCTATACTTACCTCAGGGTGATCTGGACCAGTGATATGATTAGCTCCCAGTGGCCAGCTTCAGTTTAGAGGAGATGCCCCAAAGTAAGTCTATAGATCACATCACCGCTCAGGCATTGCAGCTGTTGTTGGTAATCTCTTCTCTTCTCTGAAGCTGCCGACTTGGGAGATCATGTCACCAGAGGGAGGAAAGGGATAGGGAGGACAGGGAAGATATAAGTGGGAAAGGCAGGGGTAGGGAAGAAAGAAGAAGAAGAAGAAGAAGAAGAGAGAGGACTGGGAGGACAGGCATAGGCAGGAGAGAGATAGGGAGGACAGAGATAAGGACGACAGGGGATAGAGAATACAGAGGTCATGTGACCAACTCACAGTGGCTGGCTTCAAGGGACAGGAGGGACAGCCGGCAATAGATTCCCCATAGTAAGTCTATGGGTGATGTCACTGCCCAGGCATTGCAGCCATTGTCCACGATCTCTCCTGTACACTGAAGCCAGCCGCTGGAGAGATCACGTGACAGAAGGGAGGAAAGGGATAAGGAAGAGAGATAGGGAGGACAGAGGTGGGGAGGATAGGAGTAGAGAGGACAGGGATAGAGAAGACAGAGATAGGGAGAACAGAGGTGGGGAGGATAGGAGTAGGGAGAACAGGGATAGAGAAGACAGAGGATAGGAGTAGAGAGGGCAGGGGTGGGGAAGATAGGAGTAGAGAGGACAGGGGTGGGGAAGATAGGGAGGACAGGGGTGGGGAAGATAGATAAAAATAGAGGGACAGGGGTGGGGAAGATAGGAGTAGAGAGGACAGGGGTGGGGAGCGTAGGAGTACAGAGGACAGGGGTGGGGAGCGTAGGAGTACAGAGGACAGGGGTGGGGAGCGCAGGAGTAGAGAGGACAGGGGGGGAGCGTAGGAGTAGAGAGGACAGGAGTGGGGAAGATAGGAGTAGAGAGGACAGGGGTGGGGAAGATAGGAGTAGAGAGGACAGGGGTGGGGAACGTAGAGTAGAGGACAGGGGTGGGGAGTGTAGGAGTAGAGAGGACAGGGGTGAGGAGCGGATAGAGTAGGGAGGATGGGGCTGGGGAGGATAGGTGTAGGGGAGAACAGGGATAGAGAAGACAGAGGATAGGAGTAGAGAGGACAGGAGTGGGGAAGATAGGAGTAGAGAGGACAGGGGGGGAAGATAGGAGAGAGAGGACAGGGGTGGGGAAGATAGGAGTAGAGAGGACAGGGGTGGGGAAGATAGGAGTAGAGAGGACAGGGGGGAGATAGGAGTAGAGAGGACAGGGGTGGGGAAGTAGAGAGGACAGAGGAAGGGGTAGGGGAAGACAGGGGTGGGGAAGATAGGAGTAGAGAGGACAGGGGTGGGGAAGATAGGAGTAGAGAGGACAGGGGTGGGGAAGATAGGAGTAGAGAGGACAGGGGTGGGGAAGATAGGAGTAGAGAGGACAGGGGTGGGGAGCGTAGGAGTAGAGAGGACAGGGGTGGGGAGCGTAGGAGTACAGAGGACAGGGGTGGGACGTAGGAGTACAGAGGACAGGGGTGGGGGAGCGCAGGAGTAGAGAGGACAGGGGTGGGGAGCGTAGGAGTAGAGAGGACAGGAGTGGGGAAGATAGGAGTAGAGAGGACAGGGGTGGGGAAGATAGGAGTAGAGAGGACAGGGGTGGGGAACGTAGGAGTAGAGGACAGGGGTGGGGAGTGTAGGAGTAGAGAGGACAGGGGTGAGGAGCGGATAGGAGTAGGGAGGATGGGGCTGGGGAGGATAGGTGTAGGGAAGACGGGGCTGGGGAGGATAGGAGTAGGGAGGACGGGGCTGGGGAGGATAGGAGTAGAGAGGACAGGGATAGGGAGGGAAAGAGTAGGAAAGACGGGGATAGGTAGGATAAGAGTAGGGAGGATGGGGATAGGATAGGAGTAGGCGGTATAGGAAGGATAGAAGTAGGGAGGGTGGTAATGGGGAGGACAGGAGTAGGGATTACAGGGATAGGGAGGATAGGCGTAGGGAGGATGGGAATAGGGGGGACAGGATTAGGGAAGATATGGATAGGGGGGATAGGAGTAG